TACAGTAAAAACCCCGCGTATAAGAAACTAGATTTTTTCCAAGTAGGCCTCACATGTTCTTATAATAAATTGGTGCTTCTGAAAAATTAGCGCCTCAAAAGCCGTTTCCTTAAATAGGTTCTTAATTGTTTCTACTTCTATAATATGTACTTAGCTTGAAAGCCCTGCGCTACGCGCCGGGCTTAGTCACTGTGATGCCATGTGTATACCAGTACAGTAGTGTTATTGTGTAAGGTGTTATTATGGCGAGGAGTTTAGTTGTGCACATGTTTGTTTTTTTATGGTTTGATTTATTAATATTATATGATATATTCATATATAATATTATATAATCTTTATATTATTAATAGATATGATTTGTTATTGTTGAGATTTGGATTTGGCATTGGCATTGGCATTGTTATTGCATCGATATTGTTGAGCATCGTCTTTTTTTATTTTACCTGTGTTTTCTTTTTAGTCTTCCATCTGCATGGAAAATTAAGAACCTACTTTAAATCTTAGCTAAAACAGGTTCTTATTGTAAAGAGTGTCTAAATGGGACAATTTTAGCCTCATGTTCTTAAAATCTATGTTCATTATACGCCGGGGTTTTACTGTATAGGCTTCACAATCTCTTATCACAATTTGTGAAAATCAGAAAAGCTCTGAAAACGCCATCGTCTTCGCGGAGCACAACATGGACCAAGTGGTCGCCGAACGCTGTCCGTAAAAACCAGTTCGTAGACAGGTCCTCAGTTTGTGGGGGGATGATTTCGCTGTTACTTCCATTGAACAAATGTACTTATGAAGAGTGGTGCGCGTAAGTAGCCGCACACTGCGATCGCCTTGGCGCAAAGCCCTAATGGGTGGCATGTCCAGGGGCCCACTCTAAGGCGGCCCTCGTCAGGGGTGCATGGCAGAGCTCTTTGCCGGGGTTCCAGGGGCGGAAGCCCCCGAAAGTCTGGATTTTAGAATTAGCAACCTTCAAGAATAGCCGTTCTTTGAGCGTGAATTTTGCAAAAAACTTGATATTGTAAGTGCAATCTTTTTTGGTGAATTTAGGGTAATTTTTTTCTTTTGTATCCCAGAGGTTTAATACACGCAACCCCCCCACACACACCAAAACCTGTGGCAGATACATCACTGTTGAGTTGAGTATTTTTACCTTTCGGGGACACCTAGACTATATAAATACTACAAATCTGTGCTATGTACATGTCCTACTGGGGTTACCAGTGCAGATAACTAGGCTAAATACCTTTGCCTGAAAATATCTATGGGGCGCGGCGACCCGGCCCCGTGTACCGACCCCGTTGACAACTACAGCACTGGAATCATCTCCCCACTGAATTTTGATAAAGTATATTTTACTGAGAACTGTTAAAAACTTGCAAAAAAATATGAGAAAACAACAAACCAGTATTGGCGAACAAAAAAAGTGCATTTTTTTCACCCCTTATACAAAATCAGGAATATACTTCCCGGTATCGGGTCTCCAGGACCCACGCGGGCGGCTCCCCAAAAAATGTGACGATAAAAATAGAATTTTTCCATTCAATCCCCGGTGAGATCAAAAAATAATACAAAACATAAATATAACAAAAATAAAAAAAAAAAAAAAAATTAAAAAAAATAAAACTATTAAAAATAAAAAACAAAAAATAATAATATAATACCATCCAACTTACTCAATAGGTCTATTATTAATTGTTGAATTAATGCAAGGATTTAACTTTCGTGATCAGTGATAAGACTTTAGGGATTTTGGAAAAAAAACTTCGTATATGCGGGAACCCGTCACCAAAATTAACCGTCTGAGTTTCAGTAAAATAATGTCATTCTTGGAACGGTTACATCCATTTTACAGATAGATGTATGCTCCACGTTCCATTTCTGTAATAATACATTAGGAGAGTATGAATAGCGATGACGGGTTTTGTAAGATAAAATATCAGTCATTTTATTGTCTGTAAATATTAAAATTTTTCCCCATTTTTCTTCCTGAAATAGGGATGAAAGGCCACCCCACCTCAATACAGATGTAGGGGCGAAATATACCCATTCCCCCGCTATCTACGTCCCTGTCAGATAAACATAAATTTTGGACTTTTTGATATGGCATACAAATATTCTATTCATTATCTTTGTTTACGCAGTACTCTTACAGGCGCCGCGGAACAATTTTTGAAGTGGGTGCTCAATTTGTTTACGCTGACAGTGGCCAGTTTCGAGAGAGGGTGGTAAGGAACAGGCGGGGGTTGCGTGGTCCATCCCCAGAAAATTTCGATATCCCCATTTTTCCTCCTGAAAGGTAGGGCTCGTGATAGGGAATCTATGTCCACAGGGTTACTGCTGGAACGTACCTGGGTACGGTCCGTATTACCGGAACGTACCCTGGCACTAAATACTACTATCTTAAATATTGCGGAGCCGTAACCTCGCCTACCTCCACTAAGATGGTTAGGGAGTCGCCTAACGCCTACTCGCTAACCCTAACATCATTCCTAACCATATAGCTACGATAGCTTACCAGTGTACGTTCCGGTATCCGATATACCCTCATGAGCAAAAGTGGGGGGATGATTTACACGCCATCCCCCCCGTCAATAAGGCGGGATGCATAATTGTATTATTATAAGTTTTTATATCACTGTATAATGCATTAATACTAACATAATAGTTTTTATTTATCCCACTCAGTGTCAATATTCATAAGGTTTGATAGATACAGAGATATTAAGGTGTTTGCAGTGTTTCCCCTAAATAAAATAGCGTGGTTGGCAGGGTTGAATAAATGTGTGTCGAAGGTGGTAACACAAGCACTGCAGCCATGAAGCACTTTGCTGGAGGGGGGGGGTCGCAACACTCCTTGGTGTTTTTGCTTCAGGTGTGTGCAACACATCTGATTCATGCTGCACGGAGGCTGCAGTTAGGTGGACGTAGGAGGAAAACTACGAACTTGTAGATACCAGCTGGATAACGATGTTTTTTTTTGAGGGGGGGCGGGGACCGGAATTTGTTTGATTTATAATTATAAACTGCTTACAACTGCCCTATCTGCCATCCTGAACAGGTGGCCTCAGCCAACCGCATGGCAATTAGGGGCATCCTAAAATTCTGTGCCACAATATGGTTAATTGGCCTACACACATGACAACAATAAAAACTGCGTCAGCTTGAACCTGACTATATTCAACAAAATTCTAAGCCGGTTTGTGGGTTATCATGTTCTGCAGATTTCACGTCAGACGATTAACGCTTCAGTGATATAGACCATTACTCGCCTTGTTTTAAATATAAAGCACATATTTGTCAATGAACCGGAGACAGCGTATACATTAACGTAGCGAGCTCAGCTCCTGATATTCAGATCCGTTACCATAGCCGACCCCATCCTGAACAATCTCAAGGTCACACTTGGCTGACGCGTAGGTCAATATGACTATCCTTGATAGGCTTCTACTGACCTGCTACGTCACCATGTACACGTCAAATTTAAAGTGGAAGCACACTTGGCGATTACTAGCTCACTGTATTCTGTTTCACGTCGCAATAAAGCCACATAAGGTATGGGCTATCACGATAACGGATAGTTGTATAATCATGCCCAGCACCAACTAAATATTTACATTAGGTTCGCGATTGTCTGCTTTTTACCAAAAGCACACTTGTCACAAAACAGCATATATTATTATATATAAATTTATATATACTATGGACGAATTCACCCCAACACATATACCCCATATTCCTGTAGCTGAAACCCACCTCTATAACCACTTACTAACGGTTGTGGATAGGGTTTCTTCTTACTGCATTCCTTGCTCTCTCCAGGATAGGTCTACACGTCGCTTTTGCCCTGCAGTCGCTTCTCTCTCCAGTTCAGCTTTGCTAACCTAAAATAGCCGAGGCCATGTAGGATAAGATGTGGTAATGTATAAGTCGACAATGGAATGTTTTAACAAACTATGAAAAACTACTGATTATTGTGGTCACGTTCCATAAAGTTTCCAGCAATCTTTTGCACTCTTTAAAAAGCAATACAGTAAATACCAATTTACAAGACTTACACAAGTAAATGAAAAACGTTTCTGCCTCATTGTCTTTATAAACTCCAACTTTTATTAATGTATGTAGTGAGTGTCAGACAGGATAATAGATTAGATGAATTCAAGGGTTCATTAGAATGATCTCTATAACGCACATCAATTCTGTTTGGGCAGGCCTTTCAGCACAATTCGCAATTGCGCTAACCCGAGTCAGACTATTATCTCACCCACCCACCTCTGGATATTAACACGGAGTCAGACAAACTTCACGCCAGTCTTGTACATGTTTTTACACATACATGTAGGACAAAATATCAACACTGGGCGCCACTTTGTTTGCCTAAGCACACATCACAGGGTTTTTAGACATGGTAATTACACGCACTGCTATGGGACATTAGATACAGGTCTCCCCAGGATTGAATGTTGAAACATGGAGGGGAGGGGAAGGGGGAGGGCGGAAGGGAAAACCTAGGCGCGGGTCCGAGGGAGCGAATAATTGATTTCCCACGAGAGTTCCGGATCACACCAATAGATAGTGTTGGTACATTGCCAACGCGTGATATAAGATAGCGAGTCGGTTTTTAAGTCAGTGTTATGGTTAGGGTTGGGGTTCGCATCAACTAAACACATCGAATTCCGCCACTGTCAAACTTTTTTGTGGTGGAATTTCATCGGGCGCAGAGGTAATTTAAACGTGGCGCAACGATTGAAACGGGGGGGGGGGTTCCCAAACGGTGCGGGCGCGCCCGGTTTGCGCAACGTAGGGAGGGGCCCGAGATATGCCTGTCAACCATGCCAGGTGGATAGGTAAATTAACTGCTTGACACTAAATAGCTAACCATTTCAGGTGTTCATCGGTCTTATCCATAATCGCAAGTTGATCTGCTTCCATCTTCACTGCCATTGCTTTATCTTGCCTATATTTCACCACCTGTCTTGCCCTGCGCTAATGAAAATAAAACCTTCATAAACTAAGGTTGACGAAAACTACATTATAGTGGGGTAGTTACTACCTCTTTCCAGATGCTACTCCCCTTAAATTCTTCACGAATATATATATAGTATTGTTTAGATTTTCTATATTTATTATACACATTTATTATTATTTGAAACAATTCCCTCAACATAATGCCCAAAATGCATCCAGAGAGCACCAAGTAATAAAAGATTTTCTGACACCGGCCTGGCCTCAAACCCTGCCCTCAGAATTTGGTTCCCCACAAAGATTACACCTTAATTCTTTCCATCTTTTCCACCCACTTGGGCTTACACAAAAACAACTGTTAAGGTGATTGTGATTGTACATAGAGCAATGAAATTGGCATTACTTTTACATCAATAGTTGGTTGTTAATTTTCGCAGGTTTGTAAATCATTGATTATGCAAAATAACATGAAGGTCGCAGCTCTGCAGGTGAAATCTCAACTGAACTTACTTTAGCAGCTATAGCAGGATTTAACACTTGGTAATCTCGTATTTCATTTTACCTCTACACTCAGTATATAACTGAAACAAAAACTTTCTCATTAGATTCAACTCACTTCAGATTCCACTTGTAGAATTTCATCACCACCAGAGGGCAGTTCCTTCCAGCCAGAAATTTCAACAGGTGTCGCTGGTGGGGCTTCCGTTACCTGTTTACTGCTGTCATTGAAGATACCTCTCACCTATAATCAACCAGATTATACTATCATAGTCAGAATGGTACATATATAAATATCCATTTGTTCAGTATCATCTAGTACAAGTAATAAATACATGTAAAAACTGATAACAATTTGGAACAAAGGACCAAGGTCAATGAAACTTTATAACCAAAAAATGAATATAGGGTGGTATTTTTATATGGATTGTTACAATTATAGGCAGTTTCAGTAATCGATTGGGTATTTAGTATTGATATTAACCATTGGGGATATATATGCCCGTTTATGTTGAAAGATAAAACAACATTACCTGGATATCTTGTAAAGATCAATTAAATTATGCTACGGATACACGGCCAGATCAAAAACAACAGAGCCAGCTTTTATGAAAACGATAGTGCTTGTTCAATAAACGAAATAGGTTCCTGAGGTCTTTCAATTCAACAAAACATCTGTTAAATGATCCGCGAGAATATTATAGCACGAGGTGCTTATTGAGATACTGACTGGGGAATTGTGCATGATTAATGCCAGTACATTAATGTGGTTTAATGCAAGACAGAGGATAGGAAACTCTTAATGTGGTTGTAGATCTAAGTTCGTTTAGTCAGCAATTTTTTTTGCATTGTCATAATACCTAATATTACACTATTTCCTCAATTAATAATTTTCTTGTTCATTTTATAAACTTTACATAACTCTGACAAATAATAAAATAGACAAAGAATCACATGGTAATTTAACTATAATGGCAAATGGTCACAAACACTAACAATAGTTTTATAGTTTCTATTTTGTAAAAAAAATTAGATGGAAAACTATCTGGGAAGTACCAAAAATTAAGCATGGCTTGCAGGCAATGCCTGATATATATAGGCAAACATTGCCAAATGATCCCTAATATATTATTTTTGATATATACACTGTTCACGAATAAATCATACATACCTTACCCCAGCAGGTCCCAGCAACCAAATACATTCCTGTCTTCAATGTACCTCGATGAATAAGGGAAGTTGCCAGTTTCCTAAAGCAGGACAACGTCGTTAAATATCCAAGAGGAATGTCACAAATTTTGCAGCATCACCATGGAGAAGTATAGCCATATTGTATATAAATACTGACTAGCATCGAACAGTTGACACTGTATTAAGGTTAGGGTTAGACGGCAAAAAATACACTGCAGCAAATACTGCCAAGAAATGCCTAATAAATCACAAGTAAAGGCACCAAAGTTATAGGCAATTTCTATTGAAAACGATGGCTCGTTGTTCAGGGTTATTTTGTTAATCGTGTTGAGCCTACGGTACTAGAATACTTCATTCAACGTACAACTTTGGCTAAGCATGGGTGACAATATGTAGAATGAACGAAACAGGGCGTGGAGGCCTAACCAGCTTCCTTATGGACAGAGGCAACAAGAAAGTACTGATGGGGTGGGAGGGAGTGGAACTTGTGTGGTTTTCTCAAGTGGGTGAGTAAGTGTGTGGCCCACATTTTTCTCTCATCGCAAGTATACTTGCTGCCTGGCAAAAAAGTCAATTTCTAACCCTGGAGCTATCAAACTTTTCCTACCCTCGGCCAGTATCTGTTTTCGATTCAATGACAGTTCCGTCCACCCGACCTGAAGGCACTCCTTTCAGTTCCAGCAGCTCAGCCATAGTGAGAATGGCCTCTTGCAATTCTGACAGTCCTGTTTTCTGCAGAAAGAAACGCACCAAAACATATGCCAGTCACAACGATGGTATAACTGTACAGTCATAAAAAGTATGTCAGTAAACGAATTCATTGTGCCACAGTATTGATGGAATGAACAATCACAGAAGATCATTAAACAAAGAAAACACATTTCTATCTCTGAATATCTGATTCATTATTGGCTTTTGTAATTTACTGTCATCTGGTCACAAGCCAAAGCAATTTCATTCAGCTTGACAAAGATAGCTAGACCAATTGTCGAAACTGTTGCAAGCATGTCAATTACTTTAAAGGAATACTTGACTCTAGGTTTTAGGGTTATCTTCAGTTGATTTAGGTTATAATTGCCCTACATTAAAAATTTCATGGTTCAATCACCATTAGAAATGTTTTTTTTAATGTTTTAAAACTAACGACTACAGTTTGATTACAACGACGGTGGCGCCACTCAAAGCGCACTATCTGAAAAGTTGCGCAAACGGACTTTTCAGCCAAGGGCTACAGACTGAGGGTCTTTCTCATTTATTAATTTAAAAGCAGAAGGATTGCAATATCTTATAAACGACATATAGTTTCAGTTCTAATAAGCCAAATCGGAAAGTCCCCGCCTTTTAAGGGTATAAACTGCCCTTTTATAACATGGGTAGTATAGGGGTATTCTAGGTTTTTGATCTATAATTCTCTTCACTAACATTGTACTTCAATTCACAGGTGTGTTTGTTTACATAAACATTTACAAATATGATTGTGGTCGTTTGGAATATTTTGCAATGTTTGTGTTAACGCAAAAACTAAAAGCGCACGAGTGTTTACATTAATCATGTACTTTCCTAAGCGCGCCTCGGCCATTTTATACCACCTTTTTCTGTGACCGACATAGCACAGCTGGACTTTCCGATCTCACTTATATGGATCAATTTGTCCTAAAATGAATATCGTTCGGTTAAATAGAATTTAGGTATAAATATAATTGCACTTTTGTGATTAGCCCTCGGTCTGTAGCGTGCAAAATAAAGTGGGTAATGCTCAACTTTTTCAGGGTGGCAGTACGATCGCGGGCGTCATTTCAGCAACCAAAAATGAAATTTCGAAATTCAATGTTGTTTTATGAAAAACGTGAATGCGTAATTATAGATATTTATAGGTATGTGCTATTATTTATAAATCGACTATCATAATATACTCTCAAATTAGTAAGTATTTCTTTAATTTATTGTAAAATAAATGAATATCATTAAAATTATGAAATAATATGAACTTATTCCAAGATATTCCAAGACTGATCAGCATTTCATAACCCTATCTGTTTTACAAGCATCGATCAACACTTATTTAAAATATCGTTGAAATTCAGTGTTGGGCAGACATGCTCTGACAATAGAACAGCAATACAATGCATGGCTACATAAATAGGATGAGCTAAGTTTTCTGCTGTAATGGCTATACTAATAACTCTATGCCAAGTACAGTGATACCTTGAGAGCAGAGACACACACACAAGGAACGTCTCCCTGAAAGTCTTCCAGCTGTATTCCCTCCGATAGGAGTTCCCTCTTCACTCGCTCCTGTCAACGCATATACAGACCTACCTAAATTCTTACAGTCAAACATGTACATATTGCTTACTAAAGGGAAATACCAAGTGTTCTTTATAGACAGGAGGCATTTGCATTGAGGTTGTTTCGCTTTATAATTGGCACTATAGGGATATGCTAAAAGTGTCCTGCATAGATATAGGCGTCTGTTCCACACAGGTATCTGCTAACACTGGATTGACTTTTTCACTGGACTAACACCGACTGTAATATATAAATGCATCTAATCACGTGTGATAATCCATATCGCATAATATGAATAGCAGAACTGGAGAAATCTTTAATAAATACTATTGTATAGCAGCATAAAAACTATACATATTCATTGTAGTGGTTTGCAATAGTTTACGATAGCAAAATATTGTTACAAACCTTAATAATGTGGCTGAACCCCATTTTACTTCATTTATCATGGGAAAAAGAAAATGGTTGGCCAAATATTCACAGAATATGAAAGTAAAATGCCTGAGAGCTTCTGAATTCTTGGCCCCACATAGTACGCTACTAATTCAAAAAATATATATCAATAGAAAATAGCACAAACCAAATTTGTGTCCGGTTTATCACATTTGTTGATTGCTACAATGACCGCCACTGAAAATAGAGAAGAGATTAGCCTCAAAATCATGATCAAATAAACACAGTATCAGGATTAAGATAAAATAACTAGTATTATCATAATCATACTCCTCAAAAAATGCAAGATTATATAGATATAATAAAATAAATTATGAAAATAATAATCATGTACATATGTATAATCATGTATAATGAAAGTGTCAATGACACCGTAGCTCACCACAAAAAAAGACACAAATGAGTGAGTAAGAAGAAGTCAGTTTTAATTGAGCAACCATCGACGTACATTATAGAAACGATTGCCATCTGTATATCGCAATAATAATTTATAAACCAAAATGAATCACAATTTTAAAAGCACTCAATTTTGGACATCTCTATCATAGAATATCAGGATTTTCCCTCCTTCAGGGCATGTCCCCCTCCTGTTTAAGGGGGGGGGGGGTCCGGGGATTTTCTTGAAAGTAACACCTCTTTGATGCAATTTCCTGCACTATGAGGCAGCACTATTAAACAATCTTCATCACAATAACATCACTGTTGAGTTGAGTATTTTCACCTTTGGGGACACCAGACTAAAATACTACCAAATCTGTGCTATGTACATGTCCTCACTGGGGTTACCAGTGCAGACTTACCTAGGCTAAAATACCTTTGCCCTGAAAATTCTAGGGGGGGCGACCGCCCCGTGCTACCGACCCCCCGTTGACAACTACAGCACTGGAATCATCTCCCCTGAAATTTTGATAAAACGTATATTTTACTGAGAACGTTAAAACTGCAAAAAAATATGAGAAAAACAACCAGATTTGAACAAAAAAGTGCATTTTTTCACCCCTTATACAAAATCAGGAATATACTTCCGGTCGGGTCTCAGCACCCCCATCCCCCCAAAAAAAGTGAGATGAAACAGAATTTTCCCATTCAAACCCTGTGAAGATTCAACATCCCAACTCTCAATAGGTCTATTATAATTTTGAATAAAGCAAGGATTTAACTTTCGTGAGCAGTGATAAGACTTTGGGGATTTTGGGAAAAAAATCGTATATATGGGGAACCCGTCCAAAATTAACCGTCTCAGTTTCAGTAAAATAATGTCATTCTTGGAACGAGTTACAGCCATTTTACAGTAGATGTATGTGACGTTCCATTTCTGTAATAATACATTAGGAGAGTATGAATAGCGATGACGGATTTGTAGATAAATATCCAGTATTTATTGTCTGTAAAATATTAAATTTTCCCCCATTTTTTTCCTGAAAGTAGGGGGGATGAAAGCCACCCCACCTCAATAAGTGTGGGGGAATATAACCCCATCCCCCCGCTATCTACGCCCCTGTCAGATAAACATAAATTTGACTTTTGATATGCATACAAATATTCATAATCATAATCTTTGTTAGCAGTACTCTACAGGCGCCGCGGAACAATTTTTGAAGTGGGGGTGCTCAATTTGTTACGCTTGACAGTGGCCTATGCAGGTTTTCGAGGAGGGTGGTAAGAAACAGGCGGGGGTATGCGGGTCCTCCCCCAGAAAATTTTGAATCCCCCATTTTCCTCCTGAAAGTAGGGCTGTGATGGGATCTATGTCCCCCAGGGTACTGCCGGAACGTAACCTGGGTACGGTCCGGTATACCGGAACGTACCCTGGCACTAAATACTACTATCTAATATGCCGGACCGTACCTCGCCTACTCCACTAATGAGTCTATTACGTACCTCCGGCATTCTTTGCATACTTTATGCTTTCTATCGTCTGTTCCATGACGCCGTCATCGGCGGCGACCACCAGCACGACGATGTCGGTCACGTGTGCTCCCCGTGACCGCATCGACGAGAATGCAGCGTGACCCGGAGTATCGAGAAAGGTTATCCGTTGCTTGGACTCGGGTAACTCGACTAGAACGAGCGTGCCGCACGTGTTGAAATGTTAAAATAAATCATGCCGGATGACAACGTGTGGGCCCTCACCCAGAATCCTCTTAATACTGGACAAAAGGCTACCAACTGAAAACACTGACTACAACTTTTTGGTATTCAATATCTGAAAATGATCTCACACATGATAGCTTATTAGAACAGTATATATATATAATACCTGATGTTACATGTTACAAAGTTTTTGACAAAAGACATCTATAGAAAATCTGACTTGTGAAAAATATGGCAATCTATCTTTTCCACATTTCCTACCTGAGAAAGCACTGACATGCTGAGTGATTCCACCAAACTCGGTAGCGACGACGTTTGTGCTTCGTAGCGCATCAAGGAGTGTGGTCTTTCCGTGGTCTACATGGCCCATGATGGTGACGACGGGCGGACGATGTTTCAGCAGAGCCGGATCCGTAACAACCGGACTAAAAGTAGATTTTTTGTCTTTTAAGGGTGGGGCACAGGCTCCCCGCAACCGTGTGTGATTACCAGAGCTACTTGCTGTTATGTAGGCGAGGTTGTTTGCGTAACTCAAAACTACTTCGTACTTCTAACTTTAAACAAAAGTTCAATCTTGTCACAAACGAATATGTCACTCTTTAATCATCGAATATCAATCCTCAATCGCTATAAAATGAATAATGCCTAAAATGAATTAAAGAATTATCATGGCGATTTGTTTCACAAAGTTACCTTCGGTAAGCGTCCAAGTCGACTGCCTCCTTCTGTTTACGAGGATCAGCTTTGATTTTGTACCGGAGGCCTGTCTTTTCCACTATCTCCTGGATCACTCGTATGTTGTCTATAACTGTACGTGCAAGAAAATACAGTGTCTACACACAAATACGATGTGGTATATAGACTGCAGTTTAATTAGGTGCTATTACATTAGTTAAACAAATTGTCATGTACATTTGGCTTTATCACACTCTATCCTATATATACATATGATCAATAGACCTATCCACATGATGTGATTTACATGTTGCTCAAGCCAATCACCACCATGATAAAGGAGTTCGAAAAAATGATAAAACAATTATGTCCCACAAAGCTGACAATCTGGCCTGCACGGCCGAAAACCGGGCCATGTATCATCTGGTGCAACTTGAGCAACCAAGCAACAATATTCAGATTACAAAAGTCATTACATATAATTATATTTCACCTATCTGTCTGGGTGAGCCACACACACATAGATACGTGAAATATAATTATATGTAATGAATTTTCTAATCCATTTTTTTATTATCCTAATCACATTACAAATGATTTACTATGATTTTACTATCATTCATACCTGCCTCTGGTTTGTCATAGTGATTTGTGTTGAATCTTGTTATGTACATCATCGCCTCATACACGTGGTCTGTTAAATAATAAATAAATTAAAACAACATTTATTAAACCATTAAAATTAATAGATAGGAAAATTGGTCAATAAGTCCAATTTAACAAAAACTATTAGTATTCGATGAAACCCAGTTGCAAATTGCTTGATTGAGATGTGCAGATATGTCTGCATTCAATCTACACAGGATACTTGTAGTACCCGGCATATATTCAGGAGTTAATGAACATAGGATCAGGGTGGTCCACAACCTAAAATGCAAACATGTAAAACTGGGAACTTTAGAGGAGTAGTACTTTAGATATTATTTGAAATTATGTGCGTGTAGTGCACATCACGAGCGCGAAGCGCGAAGTCACTTGCGGCCGGGGTCCATGCCGCGCCTTAGGGCCCTGGAAGCTCAGGGGTTTCAGATGCTCTCTGGTGCAATCTAAGCCTTATTTTGGAGCATTTTTGCACAAAATTTATGACCTATATTTCAAAATAATTTAGGTTGAGTGATGAGTCATGAGTGATGAGTCATTTTTCATTGTTCAATTTGTATACTAGTGTGAATGCAACCAGTAAAATGTTATAAAGCAATGTGCGAAAAATGCAAATAAAAATACTATAAGGTGAAACTATATTTCGCTATATTTTATTCGGATTGAGCGCCGTTACTGAGTAGAAAATCAAATATCGTAATAAAGGCTTTAAATTCCCAGTTTCCTTTTCCTAATTGCTGCCCAGGCATCTGCTGCCTCATGGAAGGGGAAGTCCTGAGCTGATGGGCCTTCCACAGACACCATCATAAGGGCATTTAGTGTGTTCTGATTCAGTCTTATTAGAAGTCTAGTTAGAAGGAATCTGATGAAAATGGCTCAGCTGTTTTTTATTCATAGTGGATTGCGAAGCACTATGATATGCGGCTTAGGACAAGTGAAAGTCTATGTCGGACAAGTTGTTCGTTTGGCTAGTAGCCCGATTGGACAACTAAAAAATTTCTAGTCGTGTAATATTCCTAACATCCTTTGAGCCAGGGCGCTATCGCACGACATTCTCACATTATATTTTCAAAGGTCGCCGAAAGAGCGGCCCGCGAGGCACACGTCTGGCTGTGCACATCGACGCAGCGTACGTGCCTGCTGGCTGGGGGCAGCATGGATTGAAGTACGGGGGGGGGGGCGCACAATTGTTTCAGTCGCGCGGTGCTAATCACTACTAAAACGTAGGGGGTGGGCACTGCTGGACTATGAGAGAGGCAGAGAGCGACAGCAAAACTCTTTCTGGAATTGAGGGAAAGCTACAATCGGGAATGACACATGAGTGCTGCCGGCATTGCAAAAATAAACGTGTGAATTTCATTTACGATTTTCCATGGATTACCATTCTATAATCCTACAGGTCTACATAGGCACGACCGCAGGTACACACGCACAAACACACAGGCACGCACGCACGCACGCGCTCAGGCATGTGTGCAGGCACGCAGGCACGGACACACCGGGCACGTGCGCCAATGAATCAGAGCAAGCAGCTCAGAAGACGTAGACGCACTGTATAATTTGACTGCCGACAAGTGGGAGCCCATGCACAGAGAAAACATGTAATAGACTGTAATAGTGGCATGCTACAAGCGCCGCTGTGACTACGCGTACGTCGTCCCGTTCGACAGTCCAGTACGGTTGCATTTTGCTTTGTTTGTGTTGTTTCTTGCTTTGATATTTCAAACCTGTCGCCCTGAAATCCAAACCTGTCAGCGATTTTCAAACCTGTCGACTCAGAACTCAAGCCTGTCGGCCTTACATGTTAAAACCCCTCGTGGACCACACTGATAGGATATAGAGAATGCACATTGCCAAAAAGTCCAAGAACCTTCCCTTACCCAATGACTTCCCGATGGTCTCAGCAAGCTGCGATACAGTCATGTTTTGATGCACTGTCACCATGCCTGACGTAATCTTCGGTGCTAGTTTTTTGGATTTCTTCGGATAGTTGAATGGGTCGCGGATTTTGTGCTCGAGCTGGAAAGATTTATTGCGGCATATTACGACGAGCACGCACTTCGTCATGCAGAATTACATATGAAATAAAGATAAATCTATAGTGCATAAAATTGCTTCCATACAAATTCATAAAAATTCTTACACAGACTATATATATAGCAAATACGTTAACAAAAGCAAATAGCAAGTTTTGAAAGACAGAGAGAGGAGGGAGGAGAGGAAGGGAGAGGGATGGAAGGAGGAGGATCAGAGAGCGAGAGGAAAAGAGAGGAAGCGGGGAAAAGAGAAACAGAGAGACAGAGAGAAGAATGGTGACAAGAGAGAGAGAAAATGGATATATCAGGTTGTCCTGGACCGGAACGAATCTTATATGTAATTCACATGTGTATGTGTACGACATGTCTGTGCATACACACATGCACACACATGCACACACACATGCACGCACACAGATGCAGGAATACACACGCACATGCGTCTGAACACATATACACACCAATATGCACAATAATATAATACTGTAATAATACGTACTATATCATCGTCCGTACCAGCCTTCTTCTTTGAGCTTGTCTTTTCATTGCTACTGAGGAATGAGCTGGTATGCAGCGAACTCACGAAGCGAAGGTCAGCATGCAGCACCCTCTGGTGAGTGATATGTAGCCGCTTGCACACAGAGCATCCTCTGACTGTCAATGTGCTGTGAATTGATACAGAAGGATTTTACTAGTGGACACACACATGTGCACACACGGGTATGGGTATACCTAAACGCGCACGCACACGCACACTCACGCACACTCACGCACACACGCACGCGCACGCACACGCACACATCGGTTTCATGAGTATCGACAAAATGGAAAATGACAACTCAAATACAATCCATTTTAGATGTTATAATTTCCCAAGACTTAGGACCCCCAAATTACCCAATAACTGCTGCCACCAGTACTATAGTGGAGCAGAGGCAGGGGTAGAAATTAACTTTTGAAAAAGGGAGTCCGCTGCCCTTAAAAAGTGAGCGTCCGCAGCTAAATGAGGTCTACAGTCTGAAGTTCAAAACTAAAGATATTAAAAATAACGCATGTGCTTATTTTGAAGATTCATGCGGTTGCACGTCTGCCAAATTTTCTTTGGACATTTGCTGAAAAAATATGGTAATACCACGAGGTCGTGCTCTGGAACGAACTATAGTTAGTATATAGCAGAATTTTCAGCGAGTCACACGGACTCCTGCTGCATATGTCCAATCAGGGAGTCCGACTGTAAATCAGCGAGTATTTAACTCTGGACTCGCGTTAATTTCGCACCCTGAGAGGTGAGCAGGAAGGACCATAACCCCTGGGAATGCAAGACGTCATGAAGCTGCCACCTGGATTTTTTAAAACAACCAAAAGCTGAAAAATGCAAATTAGCCCCAAAAGTATGTGAAAATCATCATGTAATCGTCCATGAAACCTTAGTCTTGCACCTACCCCTGAGACACTATACCATTGACTTAAGAGCTACTCCTCACCTTAATTATCACTCAGCTGAGAAGGGAAATTTTGCCCCAACCCCCAGTAATTGGCTGAGGCTACAGTTTAGGAAGTCTGGCAAAACTGGATCGGGGCTCTTTCTACATATTACCAAGAGCGTATAAAGAAGCTTCTCTATACGCTCTTGATATTACGAGTAAACTGTCAATGCAATCATATGCAGGGATGGGAATGACAATTTGTGTTTTCAGCTGAAAA